TGAAAGGACAAAATAAATAAGTAATATTTGCCTAAAAATGTTTTATATATAATAGGAGAGGTGATAGCGCTTATGTGTCATCACCACAAAAATCAGAGTTTTTAAATAATTAAAATAATTTTTAAAAAACGCTACAACGTGGTCCTTTTTTTTAGAAAAGTAATATTAATTAAATAATAAATTATAATTTTAAAAACAAGATAGATACTAAAAGCACTTAAAAAAGACACTTTTCTTGCCACTTCTATCTATTAGTTTTCTCTGGAATAAAAAATTCATTACAAAAATAAAATAGATTATAAAAAAGTTACTTTATTGATATTTTCTTTCTTCTCTCTTCAAGATCTATATCGTCTTGAATTCCCTTTCTATCTAAAATTTTATAGTTATTAAAGGTTCTATAGAAATCCAACACACAACGAACATGAAAATTATATATATATATATATATATATATATATGTTTTTTTCAGGATGATTGGTGTTTAACGTGTCAGATTTGAATATTCTTTTTTATTTTTGATATTAATATATTGTTAAAGTTAGAATTATATTAATCAACTAACCGTGCAACGCATGGGCACACATACTTGTATTTATAACGTAGAAAGCTACATGACCATTGACCATTTTTGCCAAATAAAATTTATATATTTCTCTCAAACCTTCCGTAGAGGTGAGTTGTGACATATTTTAATCATACACGAATATGTTCTTATTCATATTTTGATGCATTCACTTTCAAGAATGAGGACGAACTCATTACAAGTCATAATATCTTCATGAGTTGACCATAACCATTTATACATGTCATACTTTTATATTTGATATATTTACATAACCCACCACAACATCACTTTGAAAGATAAAGTGCATCATCACTTTTTTTTTATTTTGATGGAGGATTTATAAAATTTACTAGATTAGGTCCGCCAAAATTGAGTGTCAAATAACCTTTTATTCCAAATCACGATAACTACTTTCAACCTTTGAAAAATCATTTTGGGATGATAATAATTACCTTCAAATTTGTAAGGACTATTTGGAGAACACATAGTGTTCCTTAGTTTTTCCTTTCATAATTGCTAGAATGGTAACTGTTATAATTATGTCTCTTTACGCCCTTATTCGTACATTCAGTCACTCGTCATCTTTCAAACTTATTATTCACTGCAATTAATTCGTACAGTAAAGGCAATTGGGCGAATTTCAAACTTATCATATAATGCTACCACATTCGTTTAAGGAAATGAAGCAAATTCATTAGGACAAATTTAAGAACTTTTCATTAAAAAAGTATATTATTTTTGCCTTAGTCATCATTTTATCATCACTATGGCGAATTGAGACCCATACTCGATGTCTTATACTTATAATGCGTGTTAGACCATAATATTATGTGACTCGAACCCAATGTCTTATCATCATGGTGCATCAAAACTCAAATTTATGTCTTACCCTCTTGATGCAATAAAACTTGAATCATCATCTTATCCTCAAACATTTTGCAGTTTGTGCATCTGAACTTTAACTTGATATCTTTCCCTTTTAGTGCAATGAGACCTAATTCATCTTCTTGCTCTTCAATCAATATCATATAAGTCAAAACTAATAGAACTCGCTATGAGCCTACTCGCTATGAGCCTTTAAAAAATCAAGAATTATAAAAGCAAATTTAGTCAAAATAAGACTTTGACAGTTTTCTCACCTCTAGTAATTATAAATATTAATAAGTTCCTCATAATTAATACTTATAAAATCAACGTAAAAATTTACTTCTTTATTCTTCAATTATTTTCTAAAACGAAGAATTTTTAGTATAATCATAAACCAATGTATAAAATCGTTAGAATAAAACAAACCAATATGTTCTACCTCTTCGTATAACACATATATACTAAAATAAATTATTAGTATAAGAGGAACTTTTGAAAATATAAATGTGTAACAAGAAAAAACTAAATAGAACATATTCCTGCTCACAAGTGTTTCAACTACAAACTCTTTTGCAAAGTACTACAATTTTTAGAGCATATCCGTGTTGATAATGCGTTATAAACTCAAGTTTGGAAGAACATAAGTACGAAGATAAGAAATATAGATGAAGATGAGAACTTTTTTTCTTTTTTTAGTGTGTCATACATGGAGAACCATATCTCTATTTATTAGTAAAGAAATTACATCAAAAGTCACCATGATAAATATCAAATTAATTAGTACATCATTATTCAAAAAAAAATTATATCACCTTAAAAAAAAAACTAAATAAACAATGCACTTAGTTAAATAAATTTATAACACGTAATATCAATTTTTAGACATTACTTCTGCTCATGCCTTAAACTTTTGCTTTTTAATTTGTGCAATAAAATAATTTTAAATAAATTAAGAAAATACATTGTAGTGCAGAGGGCGTGTATATAAATGGGAGAAGACAACTTTTATTTTTTTTCAATTTCAATTAGAAAAGAAATGTGGTAATTGTCCCATATGAAAATTGGGATTTTGAAAGGTGTCAAAGTAGAAGGTGAAGAGAATAATATTTGTTTGACAGAAAGCAACGAGTATTGTAGTGCCGCCGGCGCCGTAATCTCCTCCATCCAGTCGATTAACGGTACAGTTGTCCTATTGATTTAACAACTCCATCGCTCATGATCCTCTTTCAAATGCAACTGCTTGGCTTGTGTGCTTCTATTTTTATTCGATATCGGGATTGAAGATTGATTGATTGATTCCGCTCCTAAATTTGGGACCAAGGGAGTAGCAAATTATGTACACACTATTGATTTCTGTGAATTAGCTTGCTTCATGTATCTATGTGTTCAAGTTTCTGATATTTATTGGATAACCCTGGTTTCATGTCATCTACACTAATGATAGATGCAAAGAAATCACCTAGTGTCTTTTTATTGCTATTATTGCTCATTAGCTCAAGGCACTGGCAAGTTAGTTGCGACGTTCCTAATAATAAAAAAGAGTTTGTTGTGATATTCTTAAGAAACTGTAATTTGCTTGTTTTCTTATCAGATGGAATGTGCGGATGCATCCAATTTGGACTTAGAAAATGTGGGACCACGAGTTAATGGTGGGGAAATGGATGGTTTTAGATGCACCGTTGATGAGCTAGTCATGAACATTGATAAGGTACATTTCTTGAATAAAAGTGAGAATCTCTACCTTTTGCGATTCTCGATTCTGTCTATTCCATCCCTTTTACTGTGCAGTATACATATTGTAATCGCGGATTCTCACTCGGGTATCTTTTACTTTTTAGTTAGTTTCGTGTAGTATCTGAGAGATTGTTGCTCCACTTCCCATTCTCCCTCTCTATCAACAATATGAGTTTCTTTGGGCAAGGTAGCAGGGAATGTGTTGACTTTTTGTAAAGTTCCCACTTCTCAGCTTATCAGCTCACTTATATCCTGGTCACCTGTGGTATATCATACTTAATAACAGTGGCTTCATCAAGGGCCTGATTTGCGAAAGCATCAACCAACTTGTTTCCTTCTCTAATGATGTGTATATGTGATCTACATAAAGCTATTGATTTTTGTGATTTCTAGAGAGAAGGTTGCATATGCCTCTCAACTATGCCATTTAAAGCAAATGTACTCCTTGTGAAAAAAGTGGTGCATATATAACATCACCATTTTACAAATGGTGCAGATATACCTTCACCGTTTAACAAATGGTGCATATTTACCCTTTTGATAACAAACTAACTAAGGAAACCCCAAACTGGGTTTTTTTATTTCAATAAGTCACGTGGCCTTAAAATATTGTTTCTCCCATTTTCTTTACCCTTCAGACTCGATACAACTAAAAGAACCCAGCTCCTCTCTCATTCAGATGGACCAAAACCCATTTTAATACTGAGTAGAAGAAGGCTTCGTTTTTTCCCATTTGAGTGGGGTATGGGTTGGGTAAAAGAATGGGTGAGGTGATTTTTAAAGCCATATGACATTAGGAATTAAAAACCAGTTTTAGGATATATTGATTTAGTAAATACAGGTCTAACAAAAGGGGTAAATATGCACCATTTGTTAGCTGATGGTGTACATGTACACCAACTTTAAACGAGGGGTATATTTGGCCTCTTTCCCTTTCTTTTATCCGTATAGCAATGTTCCATGGTGTTCCCATCCTTTTGCCAGTATCTTTTGTATTAATTTTGAATCTGTCTGTATGAGGATGTGTCTAGCTGTTTGCTAGAGCGATATTTGATAACTTCCACTATTGCCATTACTTCGGTGTTTGTTGTGTGCCCTATCTCCTTTGCTTGTGCATATACAAAATTACCTTCTGAATTCTTCACATAAAACCCAAATGCATTACTTCTTGGATTCCCTCTTGAAGCTCCATTAGTGTTGCCTATAATCCATCCTGTTGGAGGGAGTTTCCACAACACCTCAGTGACTTTCACTTTAGGCTTGCATCTCTCTAACTTCTGAATCGAAGCAGGCCATCTGGTTGGTATTTGTTTGATGGATGGATTCCTGAATTGTGCTAATCTTTGTATTGTTTCAAGACCTGGTAAATGCATCTGCCAACTGATCTCTGTTCTTCATGTTTTATAGCATTTCTCCTCTTCCAAAGTTCCCTAATGATTATAGCAGGTACAGGTTGAAAAATTAGTTTTAGCTCATTTGTTACATGGGCTTTCCATCATTTCAGTATGATTTGCTGTAATTGTAGTCCATTTCACATTGATACTTAAAAAAGAACAAGAATAGGATCAAGTCCTCTTAGCAGAAATTGCTGTGGCAAATAGATGTTGTATTTCCTCCTGAGAACTTGTACAACACCAACATCGAAATACTATATTGTATCTCATCCTTTTAGTACATCATCAAGTGGTAACATGTATTTCTACATCCCTATATAAAGAATGAGATTTTGAAACGAAGCCCTTTGATCCACATATATTTGTGTATCTACATTTTCTGTTCTTTAAGTCTTAGATATTCTCAATCAGACTTCACTAAGATTTCCCCTTTTGTGGCCTGTAAACACCAAGGTGTATCCATATCTTTCTCTAAGCATGGATGCTTTATAGTATTCATGATGTGCTGCACTATATCCTCTGATAGAAATTCTGCCAGTTTGTCGTTATTCCATCTTCCACTGTTCATCACCTCATAAATTTTTGTATGCTCTCATCAAAGTAGTCACCAGATGTAGCATAGTATAGTCCACCCAAATCTGTCCAATGATCAGACCAGAATTATGCATTCCCCATTTTGGTTTTCCACCAAAACTGATGTTCAATTAACTCTTGCCTGTAATATCTTCTTGGATGCTGGAATCCATATTTCCATTGTGCCGCAACTTTTTTAACTTTTTTACAGTACTTGTTACTTCGTCCTCAATAATAAAAAATGATGACTTAGTCCTAAAATTCCATCAAAATTTGCAGTATAAAGCCATAGAAACATCATGTCGAGATCAAAAAGCTACCCCCCTCATCCAGCACTGGTAAACATAAGTATGGCCATTATGCCCATTGTCTACTCTTTCCTCCTATGTTGTTACTCCAAAAAATTTTGCAAACATTTTATGCATTTGGTTTATAATACATTCAGGAGGGTTCACTGCTGATAACATGTGAATAAACATACTTGTCAAGACCACCATTCCCCAAAGATGACATTTTCCCCTTCCAAGATTGAAGCCTCTTTGTGATCTACACCAAAATAGCATTATATGAATCCTTTCTTCTTCTGTTTTAGTAGATTGGACACCCTAAATATGTAAAGGTGGAATCCCTTCTTTCTATTCCAGTAGTTAGTAGTTACCTGCACAGTGATACTTATATCTCTTGTTACATTCTGATGCATATAAGCTGAGCTCTTTTCTTTGTTATTCTTTTGGCTAGAAGTCTTTTCATAGTTCCTCAATGTCATCCTGACTAGTTGTAATGTTAAAAGGTCAGTTGAGGAGAATATAATCATTTCATCTCTATATCCCAAACGATTCACCTTTGGACTCCATCTAGGTATGCATTATCCTCTAAATTATGGTACCTAGTGCAGAGCATTTTAGTTTCTTGTTAGCATTTCAACTGCCAAAATAAGCAAAGTAGGTGATAGTGAATCCCCTGTTTCACCCCTCCTAAAGATAGGAAGAAACCCTGTTGTCGTTTTTTTATCAGAATTGAATAGCAGTTGTTACTAATGATTCTGAAAATCATATCAATCAGTCTTTCTAAAAAAACTGTCACGTCCCAAAACCCCATGATGATGCCAACATAAACCTCCAGTAGTCAAGCTAAAACCCAGCTACAAGCGATAAGTTAAAACTAGCAACCAACCAGGTAAAATAAGCTACGGGCATTTGGTCTTCCACACTAGCCTTAAGGGCCATCTTTCTTTCATTTTCTGTAGTGTGTTGAGCTCCCAATAGCTTGATTCCACTGTGAACTCCCCCTTACTGTGTAGTTTCCATCTAGGTCTGTCCTTTCTAATAGAGCTGGATGTGAATTTAGAACTTCCAGTAGGTTGGCAACTTCTCCTATTTCCCAGTCATTCATTGCTCTTCTAAATAAGAGGTCCCAACCCTGTTGACTTCAAACTTGGGATATCTTGGCATTCTCTGCAAACTTAAGGTATAAAGATGCGGGAAGGCATTTCTAAGACTGTCTGCTCCAATCCACACCTCATTCCAGAAGTCTGTTTTTAATCCATTACCAACAGTGATTGAGATGATGTTGAAATGGGGCCATAGACTTCTAATGGTTTTCTAGACACTACACCCTATGGTGCCCACAACCTCCTCAGTTGTCCATTGAGTGAATAAACCATACTTTCTTGCTATAAATCTTCTCTAGATGGTTCCTTCTTCTGAGCAAAACCTCCAGAGACATTTTTGTAGAAGAGAACCATTTTGTTTGCTGTGATTCTTCAAGCTAAGACCCCCCTTCTGAGAAATGAGCGCACAAACCATACTCACATTCTTGCTCTCGAGTTATCTATTTCTGTAATTCCAGATGCTAGAAATGAGCACTCAAGTTGAAAAAATACATTTTAGTTCTTTCCTCCCACTGTCTTTGTGTGTTAGGAGTGATGTGTGCTTTCATTCTGCATAGTACGATGTGCAAGGTGCATATTCTCCATCAGTTAGTCAAGAACCAGGTCTTTTAAAAAGTCTGGGGTTACTTACCTCATCATTTTCCTTGCTAGAATATTTTAGCATGACAAGGAACTATATAGTTTTGGAAACAGGTCAAGTTTTCATTTAAATTTCTTAAGCCATTTGGTTTTGAAATGTGTTAAACCAACAATATCCTAATTGGTTTTCATCACGAAGAAGTCCGTCAACACTTCTGTAGATATGCAGTCTAATGAACTTTGTGATGTACTCACCATGTGTTGCAGTTATCCATCTATTTTTGTAGGTGATGATATTTGATATATACTCTGTCTTTGAAGTACATCCTTGTTGAAAGTTGAAACAGAATTCCCTGATAGCTTATCTCTTCAATATACAGAATTTGAGATATTCTTGTTAACAATAAGTTGGATGTGGACATCGTAGCATTAAAACAGGCTTAGTTTTTCCTTGTTCTTAGTTGGAGCTAGTGATAGGATGATAGAAATTATTGTCATGTTTGATAGCACCACACTATGGTCACAGATCCACATTATTCCGCAGATAGTATAGTAGATTTCTAATTTTCCAATATTTGCACTGTTGTCTGAACGTAAAAGAAAAGACTGCTGAAATTATGAATTGACCTTTAAACTTATAGTGTTAATGCACTTTTTAAGACCTGCTTTTCTGGAATGTGCATTCAGTTCTTAATATCGGTTTATATTGTTGATGCACATGATTTGGTACTTGACTAAGAGTTATAGCCCATGAAATCCCTCTGTCGTGTTCTTAGTTAAAACACATTACAAACTTCTAACTTAGTCCAATATTTGCTTAATTTTGACTTTCATGAATTTCAAATTCATAGTTTTTGTAAACCATGTCTACTGAAAGTCATAGTTCTGCTATCCCCTTGGGGATCTTTCTGCACTGCTATAATTTAGGTTTGTTCAAAATCCCTGCAACCTCTAGTAATTCATTGGTGCATTAACAGGTTTTGCTTCCTGTATAAAAACAATTTCAACGTTACTTCATCAAAAAAAAAAATCCATAATTTTTCGTGCGAGTTAACTGCTAGGTGCTGTACTTTCAGCTTGAACAAAGAGTGAATGAAGTTGAGAACTTCTACTTGAATACAAGCATAAAGCAACCAAACACCTCAAAGAATGCTTCTTCAGCGAAACACAAAGATAAGGATAAACATGTTCCTGGCTTTAAGAAGCTACAACAGGAAGCATCACGCAGAGAGGCTGCTGCAGCTAAGAGGATGCAGGAGCTTATGCGCCAGTTTGGCACAATATTGCGCCAGGCAATTTTTAATAGTTGCAGTTCCAATTTCGTCGATATTTTGAATTCTTGATTGACCTTATAGTAATAGTATATTCTGTTTTTGATATTCGTGCCAGATCACTCAGCACAAATGGGCTTGGCCTTTTATGCAGCCCGTTGATGTTAAGGGACTTGGGTTGCATGACTACTATGAGGTAAAACATTTTGGTTCTTTTTCTTTTATTCTGAAACTTAAAAACCTTTTTTGATGAATTTCTACAGTATGATTTTCTTATTTTTGTGATACTTTTATATGTCTGCTATCTGCTAGGCAATGTTTTGAAATTTAATGTGGGGTATTGGGGGAATTTCTTTCGGAGGTCTCAGATATGGTTATGACTTATCCCACCTGTTTTCTTAGTCTGGAAATATCTCTGTGAATTTCTGGATTCATTTCTGATGAAACGATGTTTCTGTTCAAGGTTCATTATGCAGTTGAACTGATTTCTGTCTATCAGATTATTGACAGACCCATGGACTTTAGTACAATAAAGAACCAAATGGAGGCCACGGATGGCACTGGGTATAAGCATGTCAGAGAGATCAGTGCTGATGTTAGGCTGGTGTTCAAGAATGCAATGAAGTACAATGATGACAAGAGTGATGTTCATCTGATGGCGAAAACATTACTGGAAAAATTTGAGGAGAAATGGATACAACTTCTGCCAAAAGTTAATGAGGAGGTAAATATTACTTTGGACAATTCTGGTCTTTGGTATGGCTTCCGTGATTTCTTAATCTAATGATGCTTGTGTGTCAATACTCCATATTTTTATCTGTAAATATTGCATGATCATCTCTTAAATCTTTCCATTTATTCCAGGAAAAAAGACGAGAAGAGGAGGAAGCTGAAGCCCAACTGAATATGCAGTTTGCTCAGGAGTCTGCTCATGCTAAACTAGCCAGGGATCTGTGTAACGAGGTAAAATCCAACCTACTCTTGAAGCTTAGCTTTTCTAAAACTGATGGCTCAGTAATTCCCTTAAACAAGCTTTGATAATTCATGATGATATCATATGCCTCTCATTCGGAGCTTGATCTGCCTTGTGGTGAGTCTGAAATTATGTAATTATTGGCAGCTTTATGAAGTTGACACACACGTAGAGGAACTCAGAGAGATGGTGGTCAGAAGATGCAGGTTTAGTTGAATGACTGATAATTAAATCTATAATTGCTACCTTTTAATTGCTCTATTTGTTCACTTTTTCACGATTGATGCCTCCTGGCCCCTCTCTCCCAGGGTTCGAGGTTTTTCTGGCATGAAGCTTCAAAAATTATGTCATGAAATCTGGCAACCCAAAAAGAGAAAATCTGGTTAAATTTGTCTTACATATAATTTCGATTTTTTATGTCATGATATGATTAGGTGATTTTCTATTTAATATAAAAACTGATTAAGTAGACCCTTATATTTTTAAACCTTGTTGACATATACCAACTCATGTTGGTCCCATATATTCCAAGCTAGATTATCTATACCCGTGCTTACGCACGGACCCGACAATCTTGATTCAGTCAAAGTGTGTTATCTTTTGTCTATGAATTTGTTCTTATATGCCTTTTTTCAATGACATTATGGGCGGGGAGGGAGAAGGAGAAGGGGATGTGACACTACTACTCCCTCTATCCAAATTTATATGACACACTTTCCTTTTTAGTCAGTCCCATAAATAATGACGAATTTCTATATTTAATAACAACTTAACTTTTAAATGCCCATTTTGTCCTTAATGAAATGATTGATAGCCATGAAAACATCGTTGACTTATTTTAGACCACAAGTTTCAAAAGTCCTTAATGAAATGATTGATAGCCATGAAAACATCTTTGACTTACAAGTTTCAAAAGTCTTTCTTTTTTTCTGAAACTCAAAGTCAAGTCAGACTAAGTCATAAACATTGGGACCAAGGGAGTAATAGTTAAGAGGATGTTAATAACTTTTGGTATTTTTGTTTATTGCTTGATCAATATTAAACTTCTTTCAACCTTGCATATTATTGGCAATCTTCATTCTTATTCATTCTCACTATTTGGCCAAATACATAGGCAGGTCCCTAAAGTTGTTCGGTTTTTCCCCCAAGGTACCTCAACTAACCCAGTTTTCTATTGAATCCTTGAATCCCCAATAATTTGATCCTTTTAAATATTCTTGGCTGATGTGGAGCCAAACGTGATCTCACATTTTTTTAGCGCGTGCAGGCGCTTTAAAAGCGTCTAATTAGCTTTAAGAACACCAGTTAAAATACCCTTTTGATAAGAAATTAAGAAACCCCAAATCGTAAATTTAGATTCCGAACAATGCTTCAAACGCCTGAATACAACAAAAAAACTCACATAAAAGATGTGAGAGGAGGAATATACTGCTTTTTGAAGAGTACGCAAAGCAAATGGAAAGCGTGGATCTGAAAAAACCATATAGGCAATAGAAGAAGACATGAGTACAATGGAAAAACAATGGGGAATATTTTAATAAGGGTAATTAATGGAGAATGAAGCTAAATGTAGATCAGAAAGCGGGATTCCAGGAGAAGACGAAGGGGGTAAAGCTGAAATTTCGGTTTATAGGGAACTGAATTCGAGGCCAAAATTATACAATTAGTCAAATTATTGTTAATAAAGTATTGATTTTTCCCCGTTCTTTTTGTGTCCTTTGAGCTCTATCAATCTTCAACAACAATTAACAATCTACTGGAGAGCTTCTCTAATGGCGAAACACGTAAGTTTGAAGTTCAAACTGAGGAGATTTATGCGGATGAGAAAATGGCGGGGTTTGCACGATGCTCAAGAATCAGTGAGATCATATGGAGGATCGGGTTAGAAGTCTTTTTGGGGGAAATTGGGTTTTAGGTTTGAGGATTTAATGTGGCGCTGACGTGTAATTGGGTTGAAGTATATTGGTTGAAATTTCCACGTGGGGAAGGTTCATCTCACACGCCCAATTACCAAAAATAATTTATTGAAATTTGGCTCCACATCAACCAAGAATATTTAAAAGAATCAAATTGTTGGGGGTTAAAGGATTCAATAGGAAACTGGGTTAGTTGAGGTACCTGAGGGAAAAAATCGAGCAACTTTAGGGACCTGCATATGTATTTGCCTCACTACTATGGTATTTGAAAAGTTGTTTTTTCCCAATAGTTTTATATTATTTACTTGAGCATTGCTTTAATGCTCTAAGCTACCAACGCCATTTGTTATTTGGAAGTTCTTCTTTGTCATACCTTTCTCCATAAATGACTTCAGCTTTTATTTAATTATAGTCACCTTTTCCCTATTAGTTTTATGTTGTTTACTTGAGCATTACTATAAGCTACCGGCGTCATTTGTTATTTGGAAGTTCTTGTGTTGTACCTTTCTCCATAAATGACTTCAGCTTTTATTCAATTATAGTCACCAATTCTTGCACAAGGTAGGGGTAGGGTCTGTGTACACACCACCCTTCCTAGACCAACTTGTGGGATTACACTAGGTATGTTATTGTTTGTATAGTTACCAAATGTAATTTTCAATTTGCTTGTGGCAGCTTTCCTTATGAATTAGATATATTTTTTTCACGTATAAAAGCCTGTAGACAAACAGTGATCAATAATCGTTACTTTATGTACTGATTAATTATTGAAAAACTCGTTTGAGAAGTACCTTAGTTGAAATAAAAATCACTCAGTAATATTCATTTTTTAATTTCAAATGTAATTCATGTCCGAAGACAATTACTTTAACTTCCAAATATTTTATTTTCAATTTCATACTTTTTTTTTTGTTGTTTCAAACTTCATCAAATATTGACCAAATACTTGTAACAAATTACACTATTTTTTGTGTAAGATAATTAGAAAACAAAGTTAGCACACAAGTAGACTTAAAATTAATTAAGAGTATCAAGATAGTGATATGGCAAAACAATGCTAGGTAATAAATAATGCTATCATTAACTTAAGTAATTCAATATTTTTTAGTTGGAAAAGAGACAGATTATGGTCTAGTCAAATGGACTCTAGCTACAATTAGTTAGGATGACAAACTGACTGTGAGTTTTCAGTTGAAAACACAATGTGGTGATAATTAATGATGTAAGCGAAAGGGTAAATCAGTCAGGTTGTCCAAATAACTACAGTAAATTATTATTCAGGACAATAACATTGCTGTGCATTTATAGAGATAACCTCCGGGTCCACAGAAATTAGCAGAAATACCAGATTGCATACTGAAACGATATTCCCGAAAATAAAAAACAATCTTATGTTCTAGATAAGAGTCTCTTGAGCCAGCCATAGTTCTCAACACCTTACAGTGCCATTGGTGAGACGCTGAGAGCGTCATGCAGAAGATCCAGGATACGATTTTTTTTATAGAACTTTATTGGTAGTAGCTATGTAATACTCTTCTTGCATTAGGACATGAGATTCTCATGCTTGGAAACCAACAAGAACATCACATTTTTAAAATGTGGTTATTTTCCCTGATATTTCAGTATTAGTGAGATGTGATCACCAAAAACTGTTTGCTATTTGTGAGCCAAGTTGCTTTTACTCTGGACTGACCAAATTGGAACTTCATTTGAAATCTTAAATTTTTCTGGCATATGCAAATATAGCAGCTCTTGAAAGTGATAAATAGAAATGGATGTTATGCAATTTAGTCACCGTGACATAGCTAACCCTATAACTACTCTCATTTCTCTGTTGCAGTAAATTTTGATAAGTTAATTTCTCATTGATTTCGAGACCACACAATGTTGGCCAGCCTATTATGTGTGTCCAAGCTCAAGGAAAACATGGCCTTTTTCTCCATTGCAGTATGATAATTCTTCCTTCTGTAGTCACCTAAATTGATCCCTTGACAACAGGGGCTTCTCTAGTGCCGATTCCTTTTCGCCTGTGTTGATCCACAAATACTTTCATGGATTCCTGTGAGATCTGAAATGCAACAATTGTTTGAATCTCAATTTAAGCTGAAACTAATAAATTGGTATTAAATTTATTCAATTGGGTTTAAGTTACTCTTCTGGGCGGCCAAGTGTTTTTTTCTGTCTGCAAATGGTATAGTTCTCCTCGGTCAACTTGGATATGTTTTACTTGGTGCTAAGACTTTCTATAGACAGTTTGTGGTTTGCAACAAAATTTGCAGGGCAATCGCTTGAATGACGATGTTTAAGATGGGAGTTTGATGATTTCTTGGTTTTATCTTGTGTTAGTGCTGTTTCATATATGAATCTAATTTCTGTACTTAATTCCCTGGTAAAAAGTGCATCTCTCTTTCAATTTGAATGTACCTTTCCAAGATCAATTTCTTATTCAGTAGAAATGTTCCAGCATCTATATATAATAAGCAGTTGGTCGATCTTAGCAATTTATCCGCCTCTCTGACTTGGTACTGAACGTTTGGTATACATAATCTCCGGATTAAAAAGAAAGCTTCATCTTTTGATGCCATTCGTCTGGAGAGCTCTCTTCATGCTTAAACCTTTTTCTGTAACCCTGCTACTGTAAATTTCATCTGATTCTAGTTTCTTTGTGGCACCAATGCTAATTCTGCTCGTGTATAGCACCAATTCTAATTCTGAAATCATTACCTCAGGAAAATATCAATAGAGGAGAAGAGAAATCTAGGGATAGCTCTCACGAAGTTATCTCCTGATGATCTTAGTAAGGCACTGGAGATAGTAGCACAAAATAACCCACTATTTCCAGCTTCAGCAGAAGAGGTGGAACTTGACATAGATGCCCAGGTTATCATTAGACTTGAACATCTTCCCCATTCAAAAATTTATGTATCACTTATCAATATTCTTAGCAATAGTTTATTTGTGGTTTCTGTAGAGCGAATTGACACTATGGAGGCTAAAATTCTTCACCAAGGATGCATTAGAAGTTGATGGTAAGAGTTCAAGCAAAGGTGACAACAGTAACTCAGCCAATGTTGCTGCTACTAACCCTAATATTAGTGCTGCCTCCGGAAGAAAAAGGGAGATTTGTGATGCACTTGTGAAGAATGCCAAGAAACGAAATAAAAAACCCTCTAGATGAATGTTTATGAAACGGGCTGCAGTATAGATTTTAGGTTCATGTGTATCATCATCAGAAGAAAAGGTTTCTTTGTCTTATCGCATTCATTCTCAAATGAAAGAATGAATGAGACATTTGATACTAAAAGTTGACTATTTCTCAAGCATTGTACGAGGAAATGAAATGATGTTGGTGTTCAATATTTCTGTGAATATGTAACTTCCATTCTTTCTTATTGGGCTCCCTCAGTGAAGCTATTTTACAAAGAGGACTTGTCTTTCATAATTGTGCAAGAGAAAAGAATTTATAATCTCCTAGGTCATTCAACCATCACTTTAAGATATTTGATTGGATGCTTAGATCATTTCATATGGTATCGGAGCTAAACTGTGGTTATTGCTCTAAGCTCTCCCCTCAATTCAATCTATTAAGATTCTCTCGTTTATTGTCCAACCATAATTTTGACAAAAAAAAAGATGCAACCTCATGAAGGAGGGTATTAAAGGATACAATTTTATTTTATTTTTTACATTGGTCGTATGTTATTTGATTGCAGGAATCACAATGAATTTGAGGAAGAAGAATTAAGAGAGAAGAGTTCTAGGAAGAATCTTTGTTTGTATTTTCATTAATGAGTTGATTATAAGCTATATAGTAACTAAATTGAACTAAATGAAGCTAATAACACAATCAGTTGCCAATTAACTGCTCATAACTATAACTAACTATAAGATTATGATATAATACTCATTTATAAGAGATTTTTGACCTCAGGGATCTATAATATTCCCACATGCTCTGCCAAGGTTAGAGCCATTTTCACAGTATTCATGTGCCTTGATGCCTGCAAAAAGGTCATCCTTCAACAGTCGGACTCGTGTTTCAGAATAAAGGCTGCAGATAGCGGAATAACATAAACAATTGATTGCCTTAATTCTCCATATTTCCCCCCAAAAGATGTTGAACTTGTCTTTTCAAGTGAAGACATAGAAGACTGTAACGGTAGAAATTGAGTGCATCCCTTCCCCTTGAGATCACCCTTGTTCTAAACAACGAAATATAAACTAGAAATGTGGAACATTATGCCAGTTCCCAAGGTACATCATATTGTCATACATTCTCATCCTCAACATTATTGTTTTCTTGTTCCCAATCACATCTCAAGTTGCCAATGATAGAAAATCATCAATCCATACTTCTACTATTTCCTCTACAGTTATTATTGGTGTTTCCTCTATTATTAGAAAGACCAATTTCTCAATCTCTTAATATTGATAAGTCTTTTTATTACTCTCCAAGTTTAACCAAAAATCATAGGAAGTCGTGATCTTTGAAAGAATTGTATCAAAACAAGCTTGCCACGAGATATTTTCTTTCCACTCACTATCTAAGAATTTTTTATCCATACATAACACCTCAGAGATTTAAAAAAGGGAAGAACTTCATGTTTTGGCTATTGGTTGTATCCTACCATACTCGTCTACAGTTCATAGAAGTTTGTACAGGTCATAGATGACACTCGGGAATGAGGTTGAGATTAGGAAAAATTCAAGTTCATGAAGTTGACCTACGAGTGAACAAGATGGGTCGTCATTTGTTTGGTCTTGAACTTAAATTCTACCGGTTGGCTCTACGAGTCGTAAAAACTTCCGTCGTAGGAAGGTCTCATGGAAAGTTATGTGAATTTGGGTTTCTGAAGTTGGTTTCACGGTTGACTAGTACAGACCGTAGAAAAGTTCTTTTACGTTCATAACAGTTCAAATCATAAGAGAAAGGTTCCAAGAGGAGAAAAACTAGGGTTCAAGTGTTCTTCGAGTTTCGTCGTTTTCACTAACTTCATTCTTCCATGTACATAAGGCTATCATAGAGTTGGAGTAGTTCGTCCTCACGCCCTACATCTACTTTCAAATCAGTAAAAGAGTGATTTAGGATTCTACACTTAGATTTCAGTATTCTTCATATGAGTTGATATAGAGTTTTGTGTTCTTGAGTTTTTGGTTATTAAATTCCTATTTCTAATCATTGAATAGTTGATTGTTCATGTGTATTTTTCAGCATAAACCCTATTCTTGAGCATTCATTGAATTCTTAATGAGAATTTTTTAAACATAATTATTTAAATTGAATTTTGAGGAAGTAATAAATAGGAGTTTGAGAAAGTATATAAGAGAACTAAATATTTCCGAAATGTTTCATTTTTTACATGAATAAAAGGAGTATACTTATTTGAGAAAAGTTAAAAGAGTTTTCATAAAGATTGAATAAATAGCAGTAACCTCTTAAAGAGACCCCTTTTGAGAAATTATCTCAACCCAAAATGTATTTTTACATTGAGCAAAGAGAAATCTAGTTTTCTAGAATGAGCAATGAGTTTCAAAGATATTTCAAAGCACTTACCTTTTTTTAGAGAATAGTTTGAACAATTATCTCAAGCCAGACAAATAGTATGTTTTTATACATTTGAGCGAAAGTATAGAATATTGAGAGTATTATTGAACACCGATATGAGCGAGAGTTCAGATAACTCACAGCCCCCATAAATCATGCATATCTTGCGAACATGAGTAAAAATCATATTTTTTTTTGATGAATCCTTAGTCTTTCGGACAAAAGGTTAGTGAATCCACTTGGTTGAGTGAATCTATATCCCGACACAATATAAGATAGTTCTGACAGCGAGGACAAGATGATGTATCATTAGGTAGCTCATACTGTTGGTTGTCGGTTAGAGAATCTCCCAATAGAGTTAAAGTGTAATTTAAATATATTACTACTTATGTTGAAGTTCATAGATGAGAAAATATTTTGTAAAGTTATGTGATTTTATTTCTTTAATTCTTTACATTCAGTTGTTATGTCATATCTATTGTCGTCCTTTCATTCAGTTATTCCGTCTCGTCTGCACGACATATTTGTGCATTCAATGTACTAATGTTATTCGACCTGCATCTTTTATGATGCAAATACAGGTTTTCAGGATCATCAATAGACATTGCTTTGAGATCATTTTGCGCTTCAGATTTGATGAGCCTCCTTGCTTTCCGGAGGATTTCATATTTATCTTTTAAGTTTTGTTGAGTTGCAGCGGGTCTTGTCCCGACATCTATCTTAGTACTAGAGGCTTCATACATAGTTAGAGTTGAGGAGTCTCTCAGTATTTCCCTATTATTTTGAGTTGTTTTGCAAACTGTTTTATTTATAACATTGAGTACTTTCGGTCTTTGAGTTAGGTCTATTGGAGATACATGAGTTAGACTATGCATATAAAGCTTCTTTCTGTTTGAGTAAGTCTTCTGCTAAATAGTTAGACAACGTAAGGGTTGGCTTTGGGGATTAGAAATGGTTCTCAAGTGCCGACCACGTCCGAGGTGTAGCCTTGGGGCGTGATACTCGGAAGCTCTCAAAAATCAACCAAGACCTCACCTAGAGTTAAACCATCCCCTGAATCCAATAGAACTCTCCCCAAGTGTTGACCAAAGTCAACTCAAAGGCTAATTTTTAAAAATTTCACAACTTAGGATGTCAAGTCCTTAAAAAGACTTCGAATCTGAAATCAAAAACTCTCATCGACCATATCTCATATTCAAGTAATGAAATCGATGAAATTCCATTATGACACTCGAAACTCCAAAAGACTTCAAAATTACTTTCAAGTAACTTGGCCTTTCAAATTCACTAACTAACTCAAGTTCTCAACTTTTACCCAAATTTCGAAAGCAAATTTTCAAACTCAAACATAAATGACTCGGGTCACGATTAAGAGGGGCAAACTCACAAAATTTCCCAGAAATGACTGACCGAACCATTACATATTTTTTTATTTTGGCACATGGAGTTGTGGTTCAAATCTTTTGAGATACCAATAATTTTTTCAGAATTATAAAGTACTTGCATTACCGGAAAGTTCATTTATATTATAAGATGCTCTTTGATATGCATGATATATGAGAAATATTAGAAACCAGTGGGAGATTGTTGGATAATTGGTAATATATAGAATGCTTGAATTGAACAGACACAACTGTTCATAAAAAATATGACTATTATGAAAAGTCATATGTGCATGAAAAATATGACTATTATGAAAAGTCATATGTTCATATGAAAGAACATGTTATGTAAAGTTAATTATTAATACTGTAAATATAAAGGCTTTCTAGAAGTAGCCAATAGAAAAATCTGCAAGTACATTCAAAAGCTTTGTTGTATTCAAAAGGAATTTGTTTGTATTTACTCCAATATATAAGCAATATCTCTATACAGAAAATGATTCTTCACGCCTCAAAGCTATCTTTTTCTTCTTCTTAAATTTATACTCCCTCTTGCCCTAATTACTTATTCACTTTTGAATTGACACATCTATTAAGAAAATAATTGTTGACATAGTAATTTTATCATTTTAGCCCTGTTAATTATGAAGAGAAATTAAAAATTTAATATTTTTACAAAGTTCTACATTTTTTTCAAAATAATTCATGATGGTATAATAGGAAAAAAAAATTGTCATTTCTTGATTTGTCAAAATGGACAAGTAAATAGGGGTAGAGGAAGTTATTTTTCTAATAGTTTTGCCTAAAAATGTCTTAACAACATTGACGAATCAAATCTCTGAAAATTACACTTAAATGACCACCAAAGGAAGGATGTGGTGCAATGAATGAGGTCGTTCCTTGCTTAATCAGAGATATACTATTCAAACTCTGAATAAATATAAAAAATAATCCTGGCATGGAATGCTTCCCCTAAATGGGACCCTACGTAGCGCAAATCAGAATAGTTGAGCTCCAGTACAGATACTAAACACCGAATAGGAAAAGCAAAAAAGAAAAGGTATAAAGTCAACTTCTTCGATTACAAAACTTGTCATGCAGAGGTCAAAAGTTCAAATGTGATCAGCCATCAAATCTTCAACGTGCCGATTGAGAACACAGTGGCAGTGGCCCTATCTGACAATTGGTATATAACATTCTGCTGTTGGAAAATCAAAATTAATCTTCTACAAGAGCAAAAGAGATGATATCAATCAAGTAATCACGCCTCACTCCAAAACAGGAAGTAATGGAATAATATGACACCTTACCATATACCATATTGGAGCAATACAAAATGCTCTCAAGTGGAATACAAACTGATATTGCGCATTTCCTTATTATTAAAAGTAAAACATCATGCGCAAATCCAATTCAAGGACAATTCCTTTTATTTGGTTTATGTGCATTGTTGGGACATACATGTACATAAATAAGATGTAATTTGTTTCGATGATGATCGGCACAAAGAACTTAAGGCTGACTAACTGGTGGCAGACATCCCCAGTGAAGGCTGCATTCTACCCAAGCCATCATCACTCTTCAGTAATGGTCTATCATTAGACGTTCCCGTGGGGGACATTAGTAGCTCCCTCTCCTTGACCCAAAGGCATATATTGTGCCATGATAGCACGAATCTCTGAGTCCATGTATCTCTGCACATACAGGGGTGGCTCGACAGTGTTAAGAAAAAGACAAGCGCCTTCGGCCTCCAAATTTAAGGGGCCTCATTTTTCTATAATAATAGGTTATAAGTTATTATTTTTTAATAAATATTGAATACTATTTGTAGAAAAAGTAAACTTTTCACGTAAAATTAAAGAATTATTAGAAGAAATTTGACATATTTAAAGTATTATATCTAATGAAAAATAATTTAAAATAAGAATGGTTGTATTATCAATTGAAAACTAAAAGAAATCTATTATATAAAAGTTATTAAAGATTCAAGTTTAAAGTCCCATTTAATTTTTGCTTTAGGCCACTTATATGCTTGAGCCGCTGATGTGCATATACAAGGTTCCAGGATTTAATGAAAAGGTGAAAGCAACATTGAACAAGAAAACACACTAATGGATCATGTTAATTCCAAGAAAGGAAAGAATTGCTTGAACAGAAAAGATGAATCTGTCCTAAAGATGGTGATAGGGAAGAAATACCCCACAACAAAGAAACCTTTAAAACATCTATCTATAAGAACTAAAGAAAGAAATCCCACTCCAAAAACTTGATATTTACTCTAAATGTTCTTAACTTTCTTGCTCTTATTATGTGGGGGAATTTGGTGCAAATCTCATTCTGGGGATATTTTCACTAAAGACTTGAGTGAGATTATAACTGGGACTCGTGGTAAAACAAAAGGAAATTGCTGGCCTTTTCATCAACCATGTATATTTAAGGATCAAACAACCTCAACAGGTAACTCAAATGCAAAATCCTAGGAGATTTGTATTGTCTAAGTATTTATAAATTCCCAAATCACTTTTCTAACATCATTAGTTCTGAAGATCATATGTTAATTACTATGGAAAAACTGGTTAATTAGCACCAGCATAACATTTCAAATGCTTTTTAGTTCTGTGTTTCAAAAGGTAACATTTGTCTGTCTTTGATGAAACTAAGAACATTTTACAATGACATACCCGGATTCTATACTTGTACACAGCATATGCCGAAACCCCTGCAACAGCCAAACCCAAGATGATAGTCCAAACAAGGCCCCAGCTGAACTCTGACTTGGCATCTTTGCCTGCAATTTCTCCAACAAACTTAGTCGCAAAGATATCGACAGACATGCAACTTTGGAAAAAAGTAGATCAATGTCTTTGGTATGCAGTTGGCAACATTATATTACATTAAAATAAGCTAAAACATGCTAATATCAGAAACATCACATATAAAAACTAACCTATTATCAAGAGACATCATATTATGAAACTTAACTACCTTCACCAAAGCCAAGTATATAAGAAACCATATGTCTACCATTACAAGTATATTTTCATTAAATTGACAGCTTCTAAACTTACTTATACATGTGTCATGTTCATGCATGTACAACAAATTGGCGCTGCAACTGCAATCATAACTACCCCAAGTGTTCTTGCATTTGCACTCAGCACACTGGCAAGCCAACTTCTCCTTGCATTCATCAATATCTGAAGAAGGGCCAAAATTGAAAACGAACTTTAAGAATAACAAGATAATTGTTCAACAGAAGTGCTATAAAACAGAGAGCAAAACTATCCCGACTCCACCTCAATCACTTATATTGATTAATGTGTTCCTATGAGAGGAAGCTAAGTTCAGATTCTCCAACAATACACTACTTTTGGAGAGTCTCTTTAGGAATCCAACACGCACCAGCTGACATATTTGAAGTGTCCAAGCAACATAGACAGGAAGTTAAAAGATTTGATCTCTTAGAAAGAAAAAGGTGCAAATATCTTTGGGGCAATTAAACAGACAGACAAAATCTCAAGAAATAAAGAATTAAATCTGAAATGTTTTCCGGGAACAATATATGTCAACAGATTGATACATAATGAACAATTCTACATACCCTCACAACTGTTAACTCCATCGCCTTTGAATCCTGGTGGACATTTGCAACCCTTTGTGTGATCGTCCTGACAAGACAAGGATATGACAAATAATGCTTCTGTCTACAGAAAGTCATTTGAGATAAATGCCTAATCAACCCAAGAAACAAAACCATCTTTAACTTTGGAGAACTGCTCAAGTAATAACAAAAAGAAGGAAGGCGGTTAGGGCCTCCCACGAAAGAATGAGAACTGCTATGGACAACAGTTCAAAAGGTAACACTAATCGTGCTTTAATAAAATCTCTTACAATGCAAGCAGAATATGCCCTGCTATTTTGGGTTCCCTTCCAACAGCCTCCATTGTTTATTTCACATCGCAATGCTCCAGATGCTGTCAAACCACAAGCTCAAAAGATTAGTATCTATGAAGACAACATGCATGCAACACAACACCACCAATTTGTGTGAGAAAAAAAGATGACAATTAGTGGATGAAAAGCTTACGTTCACAGTGAGTATAACCATCACCAACAAATTTTACTCCCTGAACTACTGGGCATTCACATACTCTACCACGGAAAGTATCCTGCATCACAATTTTGTACATTGATTGGATATTAAACTAGAAGCAAATAAAGCTGGAACTTCACAAAACGAGGCTTATCGTATAAGCAGTCTTTAGACAAATAACTCTACCTGGCATGCTGTAATATTAGCAGCCTCGTCCTGCCAGCACCCACCATTTGATTCTAAGCATTCATTTGTTTCTATTTCTGCAAAACAAGTATTAAAACAACTTTTGAATCACCTGGTAGGAAGAATGCATAAACTACAGACTAGCTGATCCTTAAGACCTGTTCTTTTTCTTTTATCAGGTAATCTGAGTTTTATTTAGCAAAGTAGCTAATGTAGTTTTTGTCTCATCAGGTTAAAACTTGAGATATGTCGGGTAGCCAAACACATCTGCAAGAATTTATACCGGCAATGTCTCATATATTATAATTTCACTAGTCTTTGCAACCAAGAAAATGATTGAACACCACTGGAGATAAAAAAAAAGAACCGAGGAAGATTCCACCAGTAAGAGGTATCTCTTTCGGACTTTTGACTCATCTTAAAGAAAAGTCACAAGCAGCAAGAAGCTGATACCAAATAATAACTACCTTCAAGACAAAGAAAAGATCAAGGAAAATGACCTTCAGTTAAACAAATTGCAGGCTCGGTTGTCTCCTCAAAACCTGAACAAATTGCCTTGAGGACTGCTCCCTTGTCCAGCTTACCTAAGATGAAGAAAAATATGTCAAAATAAGAATCTTTCTATTTAAGTCAAACACAATTTGCCTCTAAATCAAACAAGGTATACCTCTGTACTGTCTATTGTTTATAACGAGAGTTGGCAAGATAGTCACATCTCCACGAGCACCCTTACCTATCTGGAAAGAAGCAACATGGGAAGTAAAAATTCAACTCCACATAGTCTCAAAAGGCAATAAAGAAGATCTGTTCTATCACTTCTGTAGGACACACACCTGGATGTCCTGTTCGACCTTTAGAACAGGGTTGTCAGTATCTGCTTCAGGATCTCCAACACATTTTTCAATCTGTTTGACGTCAAAGCCTGCAGAGTCCATTAAAACAAAAAGGAAAATTCAAGACATCATTTCAAGTTCGTATAAAGAGTGAATATTAATTAATGCAGAAAAACCACCTAACAAGGAAAAAAAATGTAAAGTCATCACAACATTGACCTTAGCCCAGAAAGAAAAAATGGAGGGTGATCATGTGGCCCATTTTTGATACTTGAATGGTTAAGTAAAGGAATTAGTATTATAAGTGCATAGAAACTATCATGTCCTATCGTGATCTCTTATCATCCTACATAACTTTTCGGTATACTATTGTCAATTGAACTATTATTATGAAATCAAAAATAGCACGCAAGAAAGAACAAATATTCAACTGTGTATACCTTTTTGATTGCACTCAAAAAAAAAAACCGTTGAAGTTCAAGCAGGATAAATATATATGAGACCAAGTTCAACAGAAATAAGATTTTTTAGTAGATTATAGAAAGTGCACAATAATAATGATATTTTCTAGCTCTCACAGCTCACACACAAGGATGAAAAGACAGAAACACCAGCAGTAGAAATGAATGACCAGCACCACAACCTTACCAGAGAGAGGAAAATATGGATTGTGCTAAACTTATGGCTTCATCAATACAAAATGTACAGTAAAGCAATGATGCATCAAGTGAAAAACACCAACAGAAATATGAAAGGAAAGAAACTCCGACCTACCAAGTGACTTGATTACTTGATCAGCACATCCTTTTGTGTATTTCTTCTCTTTCATTGGACACCGTATTGCAAAGTCAGTGACATAATCCCACCACAACCAGGGTTTCCCACTGTCATTGGCAACCTTAAAAAAGCAAGCTTGACGTAAATTTTGCAAAACAACATCCTTTCCATCATAACCTTTACTGAAGTCTTGTTCAGGGTCTGGAGCACAGTACCTTCCATGGTTGATGCACTGAGACTTGCATTGCTTGCTCAAAATAAATGCTTCCGGGCAATACCAAGTTATGTAATGGGGACTAAACTGTGTATAACCTTTCTGCTCAAGTATCTGGGCAGCCCCCTTGAAGTTTTTGACAAACTCTCTCTGGCTTTCACACTTGGGGCCACACTCATCATTACTATTGGTCCAAAATTCGTACTCCACTCGATCGTCGGGATGTGGAAGAGCCTCTCTCCAATCGAGGTTTATGTTAACCAATTCTCCTTTAGATAGTTCCCTCTTGATGCTATCCCCAAGTGATTTGCTAATTAAAGCAGATGGAATAGTTATATCTTGCAAGTAATCTGCTTTTGCATCCTCTTCCTCAGGGGTGTCCATGGTAATTAAAGGCTCAACACGGTTATCAGCAACAAGAATAGCACCTGCTCCAGCTTGCTGAGCATTCCAAGCCTTCAGTGTGAAAAAGCAATCTGCGAATACAGGAAAAACCATAGGCACCAAGAATGAACAAGAAAGCACAAGTTAAACATAGAGGATAAATAGTATATACTCTTATAAGTTTACGTGGATACATTGTGTAAATTTGTTTCATGTTATAATAAGTTAACGAGCAAAACCACTCCAAATACATATATATATATAAAAAAAAAAAAAACAGGCATAAATAATACCCCCGATTGTTCAGTGCAAGAGCCAAACAAACACATGCTCACAGTTGCATTACACTATTTAGCTTCAAAAGGAACTAGCTTGCAATTCTACAAATCTTGGGGTTAGGCTTGAATTTTTAGAAAAGAAAAAAAAGTAGAGGCAGTTCTTTCCTAAAACAGGCAGCATAAAATTGTCATGTTCTATTAACATCCAATTATGTAGGCAGAAATGTAAGGAATGTCATGAAAAGTTTACCTCCTCTATCAACAAGAAGGAAAACAGGTCTGCCACCAGGCTTAGATTTGTAGAAGATATCAAAATCTGAGAAATTATTGCATGATTTTTTATTAGATTTTGGGTACATGACATTACCAACCAGAGTTCCTCCATACTGTGGTACACCAAAGTTGCCAATTGCACACTCATACACCTCTTTAATTGAGTCTGGTGATGTTACTCTCAAGCTGTTCTTCTCCACCACAAATCTTCCCATACAACAACCACACATCACAAACAATATACACACTAAAAACCCTACCTTCATCTTCACTTCCTCCCTCAGATGGAGAAAAATAAAGATGACCCAGATCAGCTAAACCTCTAAAAACTGCAAATTTACATGAAAAATCAAATCTTGATATCACCCAGATCAAAACATTCAGGTGAATAATCAATTAATACTATCAAAAAGCTCCAGTCTTTGAACAAGTAAAGGGAAGAAAATACAAAAGGGATGTAATGGTAATCACCAAAACACTATGAGACGTGTAAAATGTGCTAAATTGAGGAAGCTACGTGTATATATAAGAAAACTAAACTATTATCACAGACACATATTTGTTTTTGTCAATATTTAAACTACGTAAGATTATTGTTATCTATTATATTATATTATATTTAAAATAATATTTTATTTTTTTTTAATTATTTAAATCTAGTCAAATTTTTTATTTTAGAATAATTGATGATATTTAAATAAATTTATAAATTATAATACAGTACGATTTAATCAAACCAAACAATTAAAATATACTAAACAACAACAAACAATACAATCTAACCAAACATTGTATCTACCAATAGAGTACAATACATTATGAAACAATATGTAACAATGATCCAAACAAAGTGTTAGAGTTTTCGCTTTCGCAGTAATTAACGTTTGGATGTGAATGAAATATTAGTTCAAGATTAGACTCATAATTAGTTACGGCCACAAGAAACAAACCGTAATACTAAAATTATACTATTTACTAGTTCAAGATTGGATCTTTATTTTATTTTTCAATTTCTCATTTTTTATGTTATACATTTATATCCAAACATTCATTAAATTCGGGCAACACATTATTGGGGTCTTTTGCCAAATTTTTCTTCCTACAATCTTTCAACTAGATTGAAATTGAAGATATAGAGCAATATGTTATTTTCCATTTTACATGTGTTGTAAAATATCAGAGTAACTTTTGGGATGCCATTTTCAATTAAGCATCATAATATTATTTTTTGTAATTTGTGATATTAAGCTTGTATCTTCAAAAATGTACAATTGAATTTACAAGTAACGTTTGAGGATGATATAATCGAATTTGTAACACCTCTAAGACTACTTTGGTGAAGCTAGATCCTAACACGTGTGTCATGAGGTTTTAAATTCCTAAAATGTTTTATAATGATGTTTTGAAGCAGTGTCTAAAGTTTGATGATGTTTGGAGGTCAAATGTCCAAGAACGTCCATGACATTCCAAAGATTTTCCTTGAGACATGCTTGTACGTTTAAGTGTGCATTTGCATGTTTTACGTGTTCGTTTTGGTTGAAATTGATGTGAGAGGTTCCTAACTTGAATACGAGGGTATTTGAGTTGGAAACATCTGGGCAAAACTCCCCAAGGACCAACCAAAGGGTCCTTGAGGAGGACCCAACTTGTGAGCCAAAACTGTCAAAAACAGTCTCAAACGACGGAGGCAGTCGACGCCCCTTAGACCAGTCAACACCCCGTCGATTGAGGGTGTGGGTTGACACTTAGTGTGGGGATCTTGTTCTCCCATTTGTCAAGCCTCTGACCCAAACCACGGACCCGCAGGACGGTCTGTAGGTGGTTTACGGGGCGTAGATGAGGGGGTCATTTGGAGACCTACAGTTTTGTGCAGGGTCTAGGCCTAAGGAAGGGTAAGTTGGGTATTTCACTTAGTGTTATAAAATTTTTTGGGAGATTCTTTAAGGGATTTTTGGGTATTTTAATTAGTTTTATAAGTCTATAACCCTTAGCCAAGTCACTATTCAAAAATCAAAACCCCAAACTCAAAGAAGAATTCACTAGAACACCATTGAAGCTTGAAGGGAGATTGGATCTTGGAGCTTGATTTCTCCATCAATTTTCCCTCAATTTCATGGATAATCATCATTAAGGTATGGTGTTTCATCCTTGAATCTTCTTTCTTTAAGGAGCCAATCTTTGAAGTGATTTTCAAGACTTCTCAAAAGATGAATTGTCCTTTTTTGATATCTAGCCATGAGTTCTTGCATAAAATGTTTTGAATCAATGAATTATGATTGAATTGATGTTAATTTGATGATTTTATACTAAAACTCCATGAACCCATGCAAATCATGCAATCCTAGTTTTGTCTATTTTATGGGTGATTTGATCATGTCTCAATGATATTGATTTCTTGTGTAGTTTGATTTAGGCTATTGAATTATGTAAGAAGCATGTTAGAATTGTAAGTACGCTGTCCTAAATTGATGAAACTCATATTGTATTATCTTGGATCATTGTATATTGTGATTATTGGATTGAATTGGTGGCTATGACTATTGGTAATAACCTTTATGGATTGAATTAATTGAATTGACTTGGATTGGAGTTGTTGTAGATGGAATGGTGGTATGTTGACCTAACCTTCTTTATATTGTGTAGTATAGGTGTTTCAATGATGATGTTTCATATGATCCACTTATGGTGGCGGCGCTTATGTGTTATACTAGTGAATAATGAGGCCTCGTCGACATTACATTATGAATTGTGAAACAATGTGGCCTCGTCGACATTACTTTATGAATTATGATATTGTCATATTATAACTTGAATATGTGAGTATTGTGAAGGTCTATATGGTTTATGTGTATATGTCAAGTTAAAGTATGTGTTCTTCTAAGTGATTATATATGATCATGATAGGCTATAGTAATGCCTTATATGTGTATACTTGATGTTGGAATGTGAATCTTCCTAGTTGACTATGTGAGTCTTACGATGAACTATTATGATGTTTCTATAGAAGTATGTAGGGAGACTTGCAGGTATACTTAGTTGACATTATGTGATACATGAATGATATTGTACATGTGATAAGATGATAAGTGTGCCTTGTTTTGATAGACCTATGTCCCTTACTTGATACATGAAGTCTATGAATATGACTCTTGACTTAGTAGGCTAAAACACCTTTGTCGTGAATGTACATGTACAAATGGAATATGATCTTGAATATAGTTAAGAAGGTCATTTATGCGGAACCTTCTAGAAAGGAGGTATGATATACTTGAAGATGAAAGTCGTAAAGGTATCCTTCTTGTGTGAATGATGGACTTAGGGGTTGGTTGACTGGAACGACATGAAATCATCCTTAAGAAATTCATTGAGCTACTTCAATTGACCATTGTAAGGCAGCCTTAGTGGACCCTCTTTGGTAAAGTGTATTATGATTTGGTTATGACTAAGATATGGTACCTCTTCATATGCTCCTTTGTTGAAATACTCTATGAGAACAAATGCTAGAACTGAGAGAATATGCTTGGGGAGTGGCTCTTATTTAGATGAGATTAGAGTACAAAGAAACCCTTCATATTCCTTAACCATGTGCCTACATGAGATATGTCCTAGTTCTACCCTTGGCAAGTTGAACACCTAATCAGAGTAGAGTTGACTCTGGATTCCATGAGCAACTAGTAAGGTCTATGTCTGTTATTGCCTATTCTCACTATGTGGGATACATTCTAGTATTGGATAATTTCTATGATGATTAGGTTGTGGAATGGGATGCTATCTAGACATTGCAGGAGTAGGCTTTGAAGATGTTAGTATGTAGGTTCCCTAGGTCTTCTCCAAGACCATTATGTGAAAGTCCTTAATTGATGAATGTTTTTTAAATGGTTTAATGAGCCTAGTGACTTAAGAAAAATGAAAGTAAATGAAAAGGTGCTTATCTAGAGTAGCTTTAAGGATTTCTTAGGTAGGCTTGGGGAGGGTATATGGTCGGTCTCTTCATGTTTATGTGATTTGAGGTGATATTGATGCTATATGGTGGAATGTAACTATATGTGCTTGTGTTGACTTAATGTGGACTTTTTTATAATTGTCTTATGAAGTTTTATTCAAAAAGAGCATGTTTTATACAAATGTCCTTTTAGCATGGTTTTAATTGCATGTCACCATACTTAGTGCATTCTAATGTACTAACTTCATATATTTTGTTTATCTCTAAAGGTGTAGGTGGAATTTGAGAGGAGTCTTTGAAGTGGAAGCTTGAATTAGTATTCATTCCAGCAAAGTTGGGGTATGCCCTCAATAGATACGAGAACATCACTATGTTTAATTTTCATTGTTAAAAGTATTGTAATATAATTAGATATTTCTATATTTTGATGTATGAGCCCTGTCCCAAGATATTCGTGTGTCTAAGAGGACGACTTTGAGACCTAGCCTTTTCTTATGATTTCTATATAAGAGATATTTTGAAGTATTACTATTTCGTGTGAAAACTTTTAATTCTGCACTACGTTTCATATATGTATACAATGAATGAAGTCAAAGGGCTTGTACAAGATCTCTGAGAGGTCAAGTACGCAGTGCAACAATAGAGAATACCATTTCTTCAAGGGTGTACTCTCGCGTCGTGACATAATTCATCTGAAGCAAATAAATAAAAGAATAATGTTGAAATGAAGAGGAAACATTAAGCAATTATTATATAAAAGATTGATATAACACGAGTCAACTAGAGCTTGATAATTCGTAAACACAGATTGTAGCCGATATATAGACTAATTGAGCAAAGCTCAAATAACAGTTAGATTATTTTACTATTATCATGATTAATTTGTCATTAGATGAAAAAATAAATTTTAAACGAAAAGGGTCAAAAATGCCCTTAAACTATATGAAATAGCTTAAATTTACCCTTAAATTATATTTCGATTCAAAACTATCATTCCAAACTATTGGGTTAGAAGTGATCTTCTTATTAGCGGAAGTTGTTAGATGACATGTGGATGGAACATTACCCTCCAATAGGTTTCCACTGCCACATAGACTAAAAGGAAACTGATTTCGTCCCTTCTCCCTCATTTCACGACTAGGGTTTTACAGTTTTCTTTATCGATGGGTTTCAAAGTGGATATTCCTGATTATATGTTAGTAAATCTGTTTTCTTATTTTATTATGTTTACAACTACAAATTAAATCTATTTTCTTATTTTATTATGTTTACAACCACAAGTATCCACTTTGCAACCCAGCATGAAAAAAGCTATGAAACACTAGATACGAAATGAAGGGAATTGTGTGAAATCCTAATGATCATGCTTTGAAATCATAAACATAACAAAATAAGAAAAAATATTTACTAACCTACAAATACGAAAATCCACTTTGAAACCCAATCTCAAAGAAAGCTATGAACCGCTAGCCGTGAAATATGGGGAAAGTTGTGAAATCCTAACATCATGTATTGAAATTGTAAACATAATAAAATAAGAAAAAAGATTTAC